AAAATATGCCTTCAATATTTTGATTAAATTTTATTGTTGGATACTGTGAAGGACGTTTAAGTAATGCTGAAGGTCTCATTTTCATTGCAATCCATGATTTTTCGAGATATTTCTATCTTACATGAAATCTGTTCTTTAAATACATTTTGAAATAAGGTCATGTTTCATTTTTCGAAAATATAAGTAATTTTTAGAGGCAAGTTTTCTTCAAAAACCGCTCCAAATTTCTTTTCTTAAAACTTTCGCCACATATATAAGAAGGGACGGTAAAAAAAATAATGCTTAGTACAACTTTCGGGTATTGCTCAGATTTTTGAAAACTGCAAATAAAATATTTATAACTACTAAATTGAAGTTACAGATTTTTGCATCAGACAAAGTCTGTTGTTCCGTTGAAAGGTTGAACGGTTTAGCCGCTAGAATTGTTCACAGATGGACAGACAGACGTTTTGCTGTCATTCGAATTTTCGGCAACAAGGACTCACAAAACCTAGATTCTGGCTACACCACGTGATAGAGAATGTTTTTTACAAAATTTAGCATTGGATTTATCCACTTTTTTTTACCAAGGCCCTGCAATAAGAGTTTTTGTGTCGAAAATGCGCAGTTTTATCGCGCAACATTACTTAACTGTCTCTCTACTCCGTAGCTTGAAAGAAAGAGTTAAAGAGATTTTTGTCTTTAACAAAGTAAGTTCTAAAAAATCAGCTATTGTTGAAGGTCATTTACAATTTGTGTAAAAAAGCAAATAATTTGTTCTTGAAACTTATTAAGTTTGAATTTTTTTTTTCATTTTCCCGTAATCGGTACAAGAATGATGAAAGCCTCATTTTCGTTAAACTCACTTTAAATTTCGAAAATTGCGAGTTGACATTTTTGCAAAAATGTGTGCTGCTGTGGCACCTTAAGTTATACAATATTACATAAACAATGATGACACGGAATTCTTGGTTTGTTCAATTTACTGAAGAAAATTTAACTTGGACTCACTTGGACATCAGAATGCTGCGACAATAGGAAGATGGTAAAAGAGATTCCAGCTGATGTAGTATCATGCCCCTGAAATATATTCACAATATTTGAATTAAGGTTAATAATATTTATAAAATAAAATTGTCTCTATGTAACTTACAGAACTATCTGCAATGAGAAATTCATGTACAATTTTGTAAACCGTCATTTATATTGCTCCATTCGGGGCCAAGATTTTTGTGCCGATTATCATTTTCATATAATTGTTGCACAAAGCAAATTCTCGCAGATAAAACTTAAGTTTACTTCTAAACATTTTATCTCACAAAAACGGATGCTTCTTGGAGGTTAATGATGCATTCCGACAGCTACACGTTGATTCTGCGGGTGAAAATCTTTCAAGGCAGAGAAAAGTGTCACAGGGGATGGTGTGTGATTATGCTAGATTTTATCATGTATATAGAAATGAAGAACCGACTCAATGGAACTTGAAATTACAAACGTTGCGTCTCGTTGGCAGTAGAAACTTCCCAGTATGCGTGCTTCGTGCGATTTGTTATTCGCCGATACCGTAACATACTTCCTCTACCCCATCGACATCATGTTGACAGAACATCAACTTATTATTAAAATCTTGTATTATGAAGATTGTAGACTTGTCAGTGCGTGTTTTTAATGCGTCAATTTAATTTTACTCGGATTTCGAGTTTCTGCTCGTCTCTAACCACCCTACTACTTAGTAGGGGTCAGCAAACGAGATATTTCTCACTGAATTATTCGCAACACATCACCGGAGCATGTTTCCCTGTATGTCCTGCGATACATGCTTACCGGTAGAGGTGGCTCAGGGCATCATCTGATGTCCCTGCTGCATCTCTGACCGGGAAGTCCTAGGGTTCCACTCGGACGGTGGCAGGATTTTACACAACCCATACAGCCAGATTGACTTCAGCCACTTTCTGTGTCGTATGCTCCGATCGGTAGTTTTCCTTGGTTTCTACGATCAACACCAAGCGAATGCCGCAGCAGTATCCTAACAAACGGAACCGCATGCGATGTTTCCTACCTCTTCCTCGTCCTATCTTTTTACACGCACACTAACACGCACTATACTACCACACAAGCTGGAGTAGGGTTGGGAGCTTAGAGCTTGTTCCGGCTGTGGAGGTGCGCGGTGGTGGGAGGTGCGCAGTGGTGTGAGGGGAAACCCCGCTAGCTGACGGTAGGTGAGAGACGTATCTCACCTAATTTCCTTTGCAGTTGATGCGCCTGGAATCACTAATCAATCAATCAAGCGATATTTTAGCCTCTCGGATGTTCACTGCATTTTCAATACACGTTCCCTCCCACGTTCCACGCTGACTGGAGGAGAATTCTATAGGTGGACTCTGATCGCTAGGTTTCCGTGATTTCCTTACAGTACCCTAACAAAAGGGACATGCGCGATATTTCCTTCCTTTTCTTTGTTCTATTCTCATCTCTTACACACACGAAGTACAATGCAATACACTACCACTTGTAATCGGACGATTAGAGTTTGTGCTATTCGGGGAAAGTTCCCACTAGTGGAAGATACCTGGTTGGAGAAAATCCCGCACGTCGAAGTGCAGGTTGGTGCCGGATCTCACCATCCAGCTAGAGGAAAAGACCTCCATCTCCCGTTATAAAAATATCCGCAATACTTACGGGACTAATGACGATAGCTGTTGACGCGACAGGGAACACGAAAAAATCATTGGTTAACCCTAGTTATATGTTTCCGTGAGCTAACGTTGTGTGAAGAATGTACGATTGATGTGCGGTGGAGGGACGTACCTCGAAGAGGAAGGTGTCCACCTCCTCGCGGATGTCCATGTCTGAGAGACTTCCGTCGCGCGCCATCAAGATCAGAAGGTCCAGAAACACCAAGCGCCGCCGCCGCCCTGCCAACAAAAGGAGTTTTGTTTATTAGTGAACGAAGAAAACAGTTTAACCTCCAGATTTTGTTACGAACAATGTTTACATCTGCCAGTAGGTTTGCACACTGCTGTCGAACAATGTTTGATTGTGGCTCCGTATTCAATCATCGTGTCCTATTGCTTTATGAACCATGTTCACCTTTGCGTTTGAGACTTACCGAGTTCATCGG